TTCGCCCCCCCCCCATCAGCACCCCCATTTCAAGATTTCTAGATACGCCACTGTATCTATCCACTTGAATCACTTCCTCTCCTTCCTCTTCCACAGATCTCTCCATCAATAGCAGTGAGCAGTGGGAGCTTTAGGACATATTTTCTGGGAGACTGAGCTGGTAGGCCCGAGCTGGGGGAAGGGGTTGAGAGGGGTTCCCCTCCCAAATGGGAATAGCAATCCCTTGATGGCCGGAAGTGGTGCTTTTACATGACGGACATGTTGGTGTGCAGTGTGGGCCACTTCCCCCACCCTGCTGGCGCCACCTCTTTTCTCAGATTGGAATGGCTTTATTCTCTGATCTCGAACTCTAACTTCACCACTTGCTCCATCATACGAGTTCTTCACCATTGAGGTGTTGTGGAACACCAAACTCTTCCATCACTACACACAAGGCATCATTACGGAAGCTTATAGTGACCTTCCAGATGTTCAGATGAGGAGATCCAGGATTTTGTCATCTGATCATTTTTTCTAAATGATGTACACATAACCAGATCCAGGATCTTGTCATCTAATCATCTCTTCTAAAGGATGTACACATAACGAGATCCAGGTTCTCGTCATCTAATCATCTCTTCTAAAGGATGTACATATGACGAGATCCAGGATCTCGTCACCTAATCATCTCTTCTAAAGGATGTACACATGACGAGATCCATGATCTCTTCATATAATCATCTCATCTAAAGGATGTACACATGACGAGATCCAAGATCTCGTCATCTAGTCATCTAATCATCTCTTCTAAAGGATGTACACATGACGAGATCCAGGACCCCGTCATTTAATCATCTTTTCTAAAGGATATACACATGACGAGATCCTGGATCTTGTCATCCAATCATCTCTTCTAAAGGATGTATACATGACGAGATCCAGGATCTTGTCATCTGATCATCTCTTCTAAAGGATGTACACATGACGAGATCCAGAATCTCGTCATCAGATCATCTCTTCTAAGGATGTACACATGACTAGATCCATGATGTCAACATGTCTACATCATGTAGAATTGATAATCATATGACAAGATCCTGGATTTTGTCATCTGATCATCTATTCTACAGGATGTAGACATGACGAGATCCAGGATCTCGTCAACTGATCATCTCTTCATCTCTTCTAAAGTATGAACACATGACGAGATCCAGGATCTCTTCGAAGGAATGTAGACATGATGAGATCAAGGATCTCGTCATCTGATCATCTCTTCTAAAAGATTTAGACATGACGAGATCCAGGATCGCAACATTTGATCTTCTTTCCTACAGGATGTAGACATGACGAGATAATTATCTAGACATCTGGAAGGTCACTATAAGCTTCCGTACCGTCGAAAAGACCAAGTAGTCTAAAGAGAAGCCACAATTCTTCTTCGTCCCGTTCTTAATCACTTTCTGAATGATGTTCAACCAGAATGACATCTGTTGTTCCTTTCACAGCTGCATGGGCGCAGATAATGGGGGCGGGGAGAAACACCACCCCTACATATTTTTAAGGGGGTTGGTCACCGAACATTTCGACTGAAATGTGATTTCATAAGTAAAGGTGATGCGTGAAAGTTGTTGCAATGAACTGCATAAATGACCCAAGTTTTAACAAAAAAACGCTGTACAGCCCGAGTGCATAGTAAAATCACTAACTAATCACTATAATACATGACTCGATTGCTCGTGCACCTTTTGTTATAATTTGAAAAAAATTTGAGAAAAAGTATAAGATTTTCCGCACACAAAGTGTGTCAAGTAAAGTAAATGCATAAAAGACAATTAATCGGATCCAGGGAAGATGTGTATAAGAGACAGCTTCTAAAGGATGTAGACATGACGAGATCTAGGATCTCGTCATCTGATCATCACTCCTAAGGGATGTAGACATGATGAGATCAAGGATCTCGTCATCTGATCATCTTTTCTAAAAGATTTAGATATGACGAGATCTATCATCTCGTCATGTGATTTTCTCTTCTGAAAAATGTAGACATGATGAGATCCAGGATCGCAACATTTGATCTTCTTTCCTACAGGATGTAGACATGACGAGATAATTATCTAGACATCTGGAAGGTCACTATAAGCTTCCGTACCGTCGAAAAGACCAAGTAGTCTAAAGAGAAGCCACAATTCTTCTTCGTCCCGTTCTTAATCACTTTCTGAATGATGTTCAACCAGAATGGCATCTGTTGTTCCTTTCACAGCTGCATGGGCGCAGATAATGGGAGCGGGGAGAAACACCACCCCCTACATATTTTTAAGGGGGTTGTTCACCCAACATTTCGACTGAAATGTAATTTCATAAGTAAAGGTGATGCGTGAAAGTTGTTGCAATGAACTGCATAAATGACCCAAGTTTTAACGAAAAAACGCTGTACAGCCTGAGTGCATAGTAAAATCACTAACTAATCACTATAATACATGACTCGATTGCTCGTGCTTTTGTTATAATTTGAAAAGTTAGAGAAAAAGTATCAGATTTTCGGCACACGAAGTGTGTCAGGTAAAGTAAATGCATAAAAGACAATTAAGTTTTATAGTACAATACAGATTAATTAGATCTCTATGATAGCCGATAGCTAGATTTGACTATAATAGTGATGTGATGATAACAAATTTTACTTCATAAGAGGTACTACTTTCCCACCTCAGCCTCAGTCATGGTGGGGCTGAGATGGGTGTCGACTCACATCTTTGAAGTAGTTAAAGTAAAGTAAATACATCAAAGGCATTATTTTAACTTATATTTCTAGGCTAGGGCAAATGTGGGGCAGGGGGTACGTATATTACGATGTACTCAGTCACATTTTTGTATTAACCATCCGGGGGGGGGGGGAACCTTATTTTTACCTTTACTTCTGGCGGTGCTGGAAGCAGGTGTTTAATGCAATTTGCTTGTTATCCTCCATCATCCAATCTAGATGCATATCTCCACGTACATTTGTCTCCCCAATTCCCAACTTTCCACAAGCTGGGTGCACAACTAAACATCTTCTCCAATCTTTGCGTTGAAATCTCCCTCCCAACAATATCAGTCTTTTATTCTTTGGTGCCATGTCAACTACTTTTTGGATTTCTTAATAAATTCCAAGAACCTCCTCATCTCCACATGTATTAGTTGCCATATACACCTGGATGATATTTAATTGTTGTGGTTTTGCATCCTCATCCTGATGATCCGGTTACTAATAGGTCTTACCTCAGTGATTTATTTGTTGAATTTTGGTGATATCATAAAGCCTACTCCTGCGCAATGCTTGTCTCTTCCAAAATAGTAAATATTTCATCCATAGTGATCTTCACTTTCCCATTGCTAGTGGTGTGTTTCCGCTAATCAAAAAACATCAATTTTTTAGGTGGTCACACTCCCTTCTGATCTGCTGTGCAGTTCCACTCTGGTACATAATTGTTCTAACATTGTATACCGCAATGAATAAAATGCATCTAATTCACAGGACTTATACACCAAAGATCTTTATAAGATATTTGCTATACACCCGATAGGATTACGTCTACTCAAGGGTAACATAATAATAGGGATTCACTGAACTTTGCAAGATGTCGCAGACAAACTGTAATTATATATTTATACACATACAAACATCATATGTGTTATTCTTAAAGCCAGGCCCAGGAGGAAAATTTGATATGTTGTACAACTGACTTTTCTACGACACTGACGGTGTGTTTCAGTTAATAGAATACAATTTTTTGAACATTTAAAAACTGAAGGAATGGGGATGTAACCACTTTTTAATTTATTAAGAGCTAAAAGATAAATGAATTCATTTAATTTTGCATTAATCATTTACAAGCATCCCTAAAATAAATAATAAATAAATGAATAAATAAAAATAAATCTCAAGAGCGCGAGTTATTACGCCTAGGTCTATTTATTTGAAAGATATAAAAAATCGAGAACATCCTTAATTATTAAAAAAACAGAATTCATACATTTAAAAAGCAAGTCAATGTCTAATAATATAGTTCTCTTTTTACAAAGTGCGAGTAAACAGTGCATAACAAATGTATTATCATTATTTATAATTATAATCAATAAAATACATAAACATAGATTGGACACTATATGATATGATGAAACTGTGACACTGAGATAGAAATATAAATTGCGCTGCAATAATCAAAATTGGATCTTACCAAATGAATTGTTTTTATACTCCAAGTTTTGCAATGACGTCACCGAGCATTCTTTTACAAGTATTGATATTAGGATTAAAAATTAAAGAATAGAATCAATTAAAACATCCAATTCCAAATATGTTTGCACATCCAACAATATTAATATACGATTTATTTATTTATATTTCATTTCATCAGACCAATGGCAAATCATCGCTACTGATTATCGCGAAGCATCGCTGGTAAAATATATATAATTTAAAATAAATAAAATATACAGACGAAAGAGTACATAAACAATAGTCTCATCTATTCAAATGATTAATTATCATTGAACGAAATATAGACAAACTATTGTAAAATATATCAATATTAGTAGTTAAATTAAGAGAATTG